TCACAGAATTGTTTGAGTTGGAAGGGACCTTTCAAGTTCCTCCATGTTCCTCTCCAGCAGCTTTACCAGAGGACTGTGCTTCCCAAGACAGCCAGAAATGTCTCCTCCGGCCAAACAGCCTTACGTACATGTGAAGTCAATAAATACTTTTCAGAGAATACTTCCACCACGGAAGTGCACAATTAATGTGCTTGGGAAACGTGCCAGGAAACAACATATAGGCTCGTGTGTGTCAGCTCCACGCCTGCATTCCCTACGTAAACCCACAGCGGTTCAGAGGCAGCGCGGATGTGCATGGGCTGCAGGAACCCACAGGAGCCATGGCTGCCAGAACACATGTAAGTTCTGGCATATGCAATTGCAGAGAACACATGGATTTAGTTGTTTTCTTTACCTGTATGCACACAAACACATGTAAGTATTCTATACATGTGTGTGTAACTGGCAGTAACAGAAAGGAGTGCTACAATTGCACACATACACAGCGGCACGGACACATCTGCACGTGTGCACGTCAATAACTGGGTGAATAGGTGAATACAAACACTAACAGCCATTTATGGCAACAACAACCAAAGCTGTCCCTGGAGCCTGCCTGTGGCCCGGCAGCCAGAATGATGGAGCACGGCCAGGGCACAGCACAGCAGTGGCACTCACATGGCTCCCTGGCAGGGATGATGGATATTGAACCGAGCAGGGACACGGCTTTGGCAGCAGTCAAACAGCCAGGAGGGGTCGGAGCAGCTCCCAGCCGTGGGGATGAGAGGAAAGAAACAGGGAGAAGGTAGTAAAAAAAAAAAAAAAAAAAAAAAAAGCCACGTTCAGCTCTGGTTGTGTTTGTTTGGAGAGAAAAGGGGGAAAAGCAGCCTAAGAGGCCGGTGTAATAAGATGCTGTAGCTTTTATGAAAGAGGTGAAATAATTTTAAACACAGACACACAATGAGTTTATTTATTTAGAAAGTTGTTAAATAGAGTCTGGGAATTCAAATATTCAATGTTGACATTGTACAGGGCTGGCGGGGAGCCAAGCCCCGCTCCCAGAGACCCAATGGCCGCGGCGCCCGGCCCTCGCCCCTCCCCGCGCTAAATAGGTAAAAGCCATTAGTTATAGCCACAAGCAAGAGCTGAAGCCGAGTCAAATAATGTTGCCTCAGCCAGCCGACTTCAAAGGCGTGTAAGTGTGTTTGGCTTTTTAGTGCTGGAACTGCAGCAATATGTCACACTTTTGAAAGAGTTTTGTAAACAGTTCCTTCCCCTTTGTAGAAACATTTCTTAAGTTTCTTGTACGCCGTGTAAACAGCGTTAATTAACACGGCTTGCGTTTCTCATTTCCCGCGGGGCCGTGCCGCTGCCGGGCCGGCCGTGTCCTCCGCGCCCTCCTCGTGTCCGCAGCGCGGCCGGGGCGGCGGGGAGAGACGGGAGGCAGCGGCCGGAGCGCCGTGTGGGGCTGGAGGGCTGGGGGTGGAGAAAGGGGCGAGAAATGGAGGGGAGGCGAGGGAGAGAGTGAGGGAGAGGGAGGGGAAGGAGGAAAGTAGTGAGAAACTGAGAAAGAGAGGAGGAAGGAAAAGGAAAAGGAAAAGGAAAAGGAAAA